CCAGGCAAAGCAGAGCCGGCCCCAATAATAGGCGATAACTAGCTGTGCAGTACCCTGCGCTACCAGTGACGAAAACTACCTCCTACCCAGAGGCAAATAAGGGAAACAAAAACCCCAGTTGACTCCAAGGGCAGCCAAGTACCGAGCAGTAAAAGACACAGCGGAGGTAGATCCCAAGGTGATATGTGGAAGGTGGGCCCAAGCCCCAAGGGCAGTACTGCACTAACAGAGCACCTAGGGAAGGCGACCCTGGGCGCATGCAGCCCAAGTACTGAAGAATATTACTCCAGGCTAGCACACCACCCATAGAGACAGACAATGCCACAAGACACAGAAACTGAGACAAATTCAGGAGCCAGAGACACAAGACCTCACCATTATCACATCAGTCAAGAACTGAAGGGTGGATTGCCGGCATGAGGGTTTGGGACTCCCCCTTCCCACTCCTGGGAAGGGGGGCTGGGCAGACGGTGGCGTGGCAATGTGATGACGTCATGCTCATTTGCTAATTTTTGTTTGGGGAGCACGACAATTTTTGTCTGTCCACTCGTTCGGCTTTTAATAGCAATATTTTCACCAGAATAGGGCTTTGTTTTGGGGCACCTACCTCTCTGAGTGCCCAACCTGGTCAATGACAGAACGCTCCCATCCACACGGGGGTTTCTATAGGCCATTGCTCCTCGTGCCACTCTAAGGGGGCCAGGTTCTGGCTCGTGGTCCCCGGTAGGTAAGAACTACATACACATTGACTGATTCAAGAAAGCTAATATATCCATATCAGCCTGGATAGCTCCAGGAAACCAACGAGGTTTCCCTCAGAAAGTTTCCTACATATAAAGTCAACTCTCATCTTGATGTGTCTCCATATCAAGTTTTTATATAGAGGCAATACTACACTCAGTTGGGTGAGAACAATGTGACCTTCAGCAGTGTACCTTCACTGAGGTGTGGACAGTTTTGACATTTGGTAAGAGTTCCTGGCACTTCTGGAGCCAAACTTCTACCTTCATGCTGCACTCATCAGCTGTGCCTATGGTTGTGTCAACCACCAGTAGGGTGTTGACTGTGTCGAGGCTCCCCAACATGGCCTGCAGCTGAGTCTTCCCTTTCTCTCCTTGTGTTGTCATATCCACCACACTGGTATCCTCCAGTTCCAAGAGCTTCATTGCTGACTTGTTCTGCTCTACCAGAGCATAGAGTCTGTCCTGGAGCTGCAGGTGGTGAGTCTTCCAGTCCCCCAGCTGCCCCCGGTACTCCCCCAGCTGGGACAGTACCTCTTCACAGCTAGTAATGAGGCTGCTGATGATGCTCTTCTGCTCCTGCATCAGGGAACGTAACTTCTTACTGATTCCTCTCGCAGGAGTTTTAATGGGTTTTGCTGGTACTGTTACCCCTGGCACAACCTTGATACCTTTTAGTTTTCTGATAAGGGCTTCCATACCATAATTAATTGGGAGCAGAGTAGCAGCTGTGACAGCATGCTCGGCACGGCAGCTGGGGCAGTTCAGCTGACCATTCTTGATAGCATTGTCAATACACTGGGAGCAGAATGTGTGGCCGCACGGCAGTGTGCGAGGCCGTAGTTGATTGTCGTCATAATCGTTAAAACACACTGAACATTCCTCTGGCTTGTTATCCTGTGGAAAAGAATATTTGGTTAAGCTAGATGTATTTGCAACAAAAAGTAATATTACAGTACTGTACTGTATTTATCAATACAAATTATATAATATTTACATAATTTCCTTGTACAGGGGAACCTCAATATTTGCATTGCTTCCAATTCACACTTTACAGTATTCAGACACTGTGTTCATGTTCGGTATTCATTCGTTTGCACAGCATTCAGAAGTAAACATGCGTCCCTGCCGCTTCAGTTTCACCATAGCTGTTGTTCACTACACAACCCACTACACTTTTCTCTTGGATATTTTGGATATGTTTGATATTCTTAGTGTAAATAAGTCGCCATGTCACCTATGAGGGTTAGTGATAAGGGCCAAGCAAAAAAAAAAAAAAATTATATTCTTCATCATGATACAGATGAAGAAAGAACTCGTAGCTGAATATGAAAGTGGTGCCCGTGTGTCTGCTCTTGATACAGAGTTTGGTATTCCTAAATCTAGTTCTCTAATAAAAGGAATGTATGCAAAATGGCAAACATTTTCATGAAAATTATCACCCTGACAAACCGTGTCATAAATCTGCTGAATGACAATGCCATGTCTCACTTTAGAAACATCTTAGCCACTGGGCTGCTCGGCTACCGAATATGGCACCCCCCCCTCTCCCCCATGCGTAGGAAATAAATTCTCTGGATTTTTTTTTGTTTAAAGTATCAAAAACCTTTCCCTGAGTATGGATATGTTAACAAAAAGTCGAAATTGTACAGGGGTACCTCGGTTTAAGAGTTTAATCCGTTCCTGGAGACGGCTCGTAATCTGAAAACTCGTAAACCGAAGCTAATTTCCCCATAATAAATAATGGGAAATGAATTAATCGGTTCCTGACTACCCAAAAACCTCACTTCAAACTAAATTTTATACTTAATTCATATAAATCTTTACTACAAAAGTATGTTCAAGTTATTACTTACCCTTGCTGAAGACTACTGTTGGTGTATGGAAGATGGTGAGGAGGGGGAGAAGGAGAGGTGTTACTGTTTGGAAGGGGAGTCCCCTTCCATTATAACATTAGGCAGTGAGGACTTCTCTGGTGTGCACTCTCTGGCACGCTTTGCCTGCATACCACCTGGACCTGCTTGTGGCTCACTGCTTGCTTGTCTTGCTAAAAATCTGTCTAAAGACACTTCTTTTTCCCTACATTTTAACACTTGACTGTAGTAAGACATCACATTGTTATTTAAAAGGTCAATGCAACGGCCTGCTATAGCTTTATCTGGTTGAGTTTTTTCAACAAAACTTAGCAGTTCTTCCCATACTTCACATATTTTCTTAATGAGGAAGGGACATTCTCTACTGCCTCTACTAACAACTATTTTCTTAGGGTTGAACCTTACCACTGGCTTTCTTGGGACCCATTGCAAGATATATAATAATAACTTTTATGCTCAAATGGCCAAATATTTGACAAAACACTGTAAATCCTTGTGAAGAATTGAGGCGGGATAGTCACTGGGCACGAGGCACTGGTAAACTGAGCGGCGATCGCCGTGTCACCATGCGCTAGGTCGGCCTGTATGAGTATCAACACCCTCGTATTCCGAGGCAACGCTCGTATTCCGATGTAAATTTTCCGAGCAAATCCTGCTCGTAATCCGAAAAACGCGTAAACAGGGACGCTCGTTCTCCGAGGTACTACTACTTACTTTAGCTACTATGGGGTCCGTCAGTTCGCGCGTGATGTCATCAATCCGCGGTCGCCTGTGGCATATGCTCCCAGGGCCAGTAGGGTGCCCGGCTCAAGATGCACGAGTTGCCACGAATATATTTTTTATTCACTTTTTGCGCTCAATTCCCAGTCTCCCTGGTGTAGTGGTAAGACACTTGCCTGGTGTTCCGCGAGCGCTTTGTCATGGGTTCGTATCCTAGCCGGGGAGGATTTACTGGGCGCAAATCCTTAACTGTAGCCTCTGTTTAACTCAACAGTAAAATGGGTACTTGGTTGTAAAAACAATTCTCCGCGGCGGGGATCGTATTCCAGGGACCTGCCCAAAACGCTGCGCGTACTAGTGGCTGTACAAGAATGTAACAACTCTTGTATGTATCTAAAAAAAAAAAAAAGTTACAAATACATTTCATTTGTTTTTTTCATGCCAATCCTATGTATAATGAACACGTATACTATATTATGGCAGTAGAACATCCGTACTGTCCGAAGACACTGTGTTACGTGCATGGCACACGTGTACACATATCTTGCACATACTTCTAATGTATCATGCTAATTTATGTATATATACAATCTATTTACTCACTATACACTATCACACACTATATACACACACCATAAACACACTCAGAACTCCGCGAGTGTCAGCTGCCACATCCAGCTAGTCCTCCCTCACTCCTCCAACATCGTACTCACCATCACTCCTCCTCCCACCATACTGTTACTCACACCAATGTTTCATGTTCATTTATGTATATTTACAACATATTTACACACTATACACTATCACACACTATATACATTCACCATAAACACACTCAGAACTCCGCAAGTGTGAGCTGCCACTCCCAGCCAGCCCTCCCTCACTCCTCCAATATCGTACTCGTCATCACTCCTCCTCCCACCATACTGTTATTGTTTTTATTACATTATTTACACATGTTATGTATATGTATCTGCATGTTTTATTCACCAGAACTATGCAAGTAAGCTGGAATTGTGTCCAAACAGCACAGTGGCCGCCATACACTGCATGAGAAATCACACAGCAGCCAGCAGACGATGCTACTATTATGACGTCACCTCCCTCACCAAAATAGCTCATCCCAACTTACTCCTGTTGCTGTTATTACACTACATATACACATTCTATATATCCATGTACATATGTGTTCACCATAGCGAACCACTAAGCTAGTATAGTGAGCAAAACAAGAGTGACTACCCCACACAGTGACGCTATATGGATTCTCTCCCTCCCTCACCAAACTTCATCCTTTCACAATACTACGCACAGCGCTAATTATCACCAAAATCCAGCTATTATCACAATCCTGGCCACTAAATCCTGTAAATGAATAACTGACTACAGCTTTATTTTGTAAAGTAACATAAGAAATCGTTTGAAGGTTCCTAGATGGATGAAATAATGCTGTGGTGCTGTGGCTAGCGCTGTGAACATTGTGAACAGCATTGAATCACTGATATTTGAACATTGTACCCCAGTCATTATCACACTCAGGCTCTTCTATAATACTATCATGGCTAAATAATACAAGTTATATATATATTTTGACATTATTTGGTGATGCTGTGGTCACAAGCTGAACAGCAGTGCTGTGAGCTCATGATGCGTGTGCCAGCCTTGGTTGCTCACTCAGTACTGAGGCTCTCACACCCGGGAATGTTGCCCACGATTTTTTTTAAAGATGGCATCTGTTTATAAGAGCCCTGAGGAAGCTGATGTGAACCCCATGTAGCCGCGGGAGTTTTGAATTATACGCTAAAAATATAAAATTCCTGGAGGCGCGTTGCACACCCCCCGTCGAGGGCCTGCAGGCGTGTTGCGCAGTTGAGGGGTTAACCCTTGTATGGCGCCTGGCTATTTAGCACGTGTCACTCACAGGCGCATACCAAAAAAAAAAAAAATTATATTTTCTTCTAAACCTGTTAATTTGTGTTCACTGATCATGGGAAAAATAATAAAAAAATCGTAAGTGGCATATATTGCCCGCTATAGGGAGGGGAAGTCTGGCAAAAAACAGGCGCTGACTCAGCGTGCGTCCCAGACGTTTTGTTGCTTGCCAGCTGTCAGGCCGGAGTTGCCACAAATATATAATTACCTAATTATTTCAATGTCTCTGATTGATTTTTCATAGTTTTTTTGCTTTAATATTATTCAATAGTGTGTAGTGTGATATATCTATAAAATAAAATAAGTGAATCATCACTGTACTCAAAAATATGGTGTGCATATTGTTGATTCAATTATGTTCATCAAACAGTGAACAAATACTTTGTCAGTTATTACACTATATACACAGGTTATATATATAATCTGCATGTTTTGTTCACCATAACGAACCACTAAGCTCCTATTATAAGTCAAAAAGTATCGAGAAGTGACTGCCACACACCAGCCAGCCACTCACTCCCTCAACACCTCACTTGCCCACATTCTCCTCCCACCATACTGTTTTTGCTTTTATTCACTATATACAGACGTTATATATAAGTACTGTATTTACATTCGTGTTCACCATAACGAACCACTAAGTTGGCATGCTGAGTGGCAGTGCCAGTGGCAGCCCGCCACTGGCTGCTACTTCCTCCCTCCCTCAAGTCACCTGACTCACCCACATTCTCCTCCCACAATACTGTTTTTGTTTTTATTCACTATATACAGACGCTATATAAAAGTATCTACATTCGTGTTCACCATAACGAACCACTAAGTTGGTATGCTGACTGGCAGTGGCCATGGCAGCCAGTGGCAGCCCGCCACTGGCTGCCACTCCCTCCCTCCCTCACTTTACCTGACTTGCCACCATTCTCCTCCCACCATTCTGTTTTTGCTTTTATATACAGACGTTATATATAAGTATTTACATCTTTTGTTCACCATAACTGTACATCTAAGCTTGTATGGTGAGTAAAGGCACCAAGAGGTAGCTACTCACACAGTCAACTGGTGGCGGCCGCCCTCAAGGCCAGACGCACTAATATTTCTCCTCCAACACTACTGTTTGTGGTGTTATTACGCTATATACACACATTATATATAAGTATCTACCTGTTTTATTCACCATACTTGTACAAGTAAACTGGTATGGTGTCCAAAGGCTATAGTGGTCACCAGTAAACAACATAAGTCGTGCAGACGATGCCACCTTCCTCACCAAAATGGCGGCTCCCAACCTTCTCCTATTGCTGTTTATACCCTCTATACACACGTTATATAGAAGTATCGACATTTTTGTTCACCATAGCGAACCACTAAGCTGCT